CATGGCTGCTGCAATCTCTGCCCACTGCGCCTGTGGACTCGGAGCACACACCACACCACACCGCGCCCTCCTGCCTCCCCCCTTACCTCCCCCTGCAAACTCCCTCTCAAACTCCCCTGTTAGCCGCCCTGTTTGCTGCCTCCGGTGCCGCTGCTCGCATCCTTGGTTTATTAACAAAGATTTTCATGGCCTTCATTGCAACACCCCCTCTTGTTGAATATAACAGGTGCAATATTCAGATGTTGAAATTTGATGCCTGAAGGTCTGATTCTGCAACCCATAGGCTATGTCTACACTACAGCCGATCTCGGCAAAACTTATGTTGCTTGGGGAGGTGAATATTCCACCCTCTGAGCAACATAAGTTGCACTGACATAAGCACTTGTGTGCACAGCGCTATGTCAGCAGGGGAGCTTCTCCCGCCAGCATAGTTTATGCCACTCAAGGAGGTGATTTTTTTATGCTGACAAGCTCTCTCCTGTTGGCATAGAGCAGCGGTTCTCAAACTGTGGGTCGGAACCCCAAAGTGCACCACTGTACGTATAGACATGGCCTTACCGATGCTGAGTAGTACTTCTTCACACGTGTAGTCTCATTGAAGTTCATGGCAGTAATTGCCTGAGTATGTGCCATCCAGTTTACAGTATTGCTGTGGATTCTTATTTAAGGCCTGGAAAATAAATTGACTTGACAATATCGGCAAATGCATAGTAGTGTAGTGACAGTCATAAAAATTGTTTGACATATTTCATGCTTAGGACAAAGATAACCTAATACCTGTAAAACAGAAAAGTAATGAGCAGTTACTGGTGGCGTACATACACAAAACAATTATAGTGTAATAACTGTGTGGTTATTTCTGCATTGTCCCCTGCAGTGTCATTATGACACTTAAAAAGGGCAAATTCAAATTACTTGAAATTTTCTGTCACCTAGTAATTCTAAACACAATAATTATATACACTATAGAATGTGCAATTACCATATAGCTAAATAGAATTCTCCTTCTAATTATGCCTTGGTAAATGACTATTTTTGCTCTATAAAATCAAATGTTGGAGAGTTTTAATTTAGTTTCATATTTTTATGCTTTTTTTCATGCTTATCAGAAAAGTGGGTAGTTCAGGGATTGAAGTACCAGTCTGTACCCTCTTTGTTGTGCAATTATGAATTCAGCCTATGGATTTCTATGAAATAAATGTTGTGGTGTGAACTGTGACCCTAGACAGTGCGGCATCTAAAAAAACTCAGGCATAATTCAGCAAAATTAGCAATCTTTTAATAGGGTACACTACCATGCACAGAACTGTCTGATTTAAACCTGGTCTAAACTGCAAAGGTCTGGTCTACACTACAGACCTATATCAGTATAACTGCGTCACTGAAGGGTGTGAAAAATCCACACCCCTGAGCAAAATAGTTATACTGACCTAACCTCCCGTGTAAACAGCGCTATGTCTGTGGGGGAGCTTCTCCCACCAACATAGCTACTGCCTTTTGGGGAGATGGGTTCATTAAGCCGACAGAAGAGCACCAATACAGCGTTTTAAATGTAGAGTTGCTCAAAGAGTGCTGGTAGAACTCTACTGGTGTAGCTTTATCAGCAAACCCTCCTAGTGTAGACACAACTTATACAAGCAAAAGAACTCTCTTATAGCATAAATTAGTTCCACAAAAGTAATAAGCTGAACCAGCAAAAGGACTTTTACATCTACACTAGGGATTTTGCTGGTATAGCTATGTCAGTAAAACTCCCTAGTGTAGACCAGGCCTTTAGACTAAATCACCATACAGAATAAGGCTTTCCATCTTGCGTACTGGCAAAACTCTCCTTGACTTCACTGGAAGAAGGATTCCCCATACCTTTTCATTGGTATGAATCTAGAGTAATCTCAGTGAAGGCAAAGAAGTGCAACTGATTTAAAACTGATATAAGTGATCTCAGACTTAGGCCCTACATTAGTTCAGACTAGATCTGAACAAATAATGGATTTTTTGGTTTGGAGACTGATCTGAAAAATCTGGAGGAGGGGAAGGGGGGAATTGGTTCAATTCAAACTGAAACAAATTTTCTTTAAATTTTTCATCAGATTGGAAAACTAAAAAAGAAACAAAAATTAAATAATAATAATAATAATAATAATTAATAATGTTTTGAATCAACCAAAATGTGCCAGGTCAGGTCAACTCAAAATGACTTTTTTTTGGGGGGGGGTCAATTTGTTTTGAATCGACCAGTATGTATTGGTCAACTTGAAACTAATATTTTTCATTTTGAGTCAGCCATTTTCAGGGTTTTTTTAATTGGTCTAAATTGAAAATGAAATGCCGTTTGAAACAAAAGGTCAAACTGAAACATTTTGAAATGGTCTAAATAAAACATTTCAAAATGAAAACATCGTAATAAAACATTTTAAAATGTTGTTACTTTTTAAAAAATTAGTGTTTTTATGGCTGAAACTAGATGTTGAATTTGATTCAAATTTGTGAATATCTTTAGAGACTGGAAAAAAGGCATTTTAGCCAAAAATCTATTTTATACAAAAAAAAAAAAAAAAATCACCCATGTCAGACCCCTATGGAAGCATGTTGAAGTTATCAGCAGGGTAAAGAATAAGAAATAGCTACCTGCACTTGCCAATAAGTTTTGGATAAATACCAGTTTTCAGTCCTTCAAGTTTCAGGAGTACAAACACCTACAGTAAACAAGATAAATGCAAAATATGTGTATTATATATAAGACTGGTTAGTTATGTAATATCAGAATAAAGGGCCTCATCCAAAGCCCATTGACATCAATGGAAAATCTCCTGTTGATTTCAGTGCAGATTAGAGCAGCCCCCCAAAAGGGAATAGAAGCACAAGTTGAGAGAGAGAACAAACTGAGACAATTTGACTCCTGAGTGCCCAACTCCACTGAAGATGTCTTCCCTGGCATTGAGAAGCCGTTACACTTTTTACCAGGGCATTTTCCATAACTATATTTTCTTCATTCCTTCAATAAGTTCATAGAACTTGTGCAATAAACAGTAGCAGTATATTGTAGGGAGAGAAGTTAAAGCGTCATAGCTGAAAAGATTTTAGTATGTGTTATAGAAATATTATATGCTAAATTGACTAGGATTGGCTTCTGTTTCAGACTCACATGGTTATAAACACTACCCAGCTGGCATGTCAATTTAATTCTGAATCTGAGTCCTTTCCACACCATCAGATGTTGAACCAGCTCTGCCGTCCCTGTCTGTTCTGGGCTGCTCTTTGCATGTCTTCTGTGTTATTAAGATGTCTTCCCTCTAGTTAAATGTATTGTTTGGGTAAAATGAAAAATATGCCCATGAAAATCTGTTCATGAACAGTGCATTGTAATGTTGGGGCAATAAAACATGATGTAAGATAATTTTAGCTTCTGTAACTATGAACATAGAATTTTATATTTAAAAAATGTATGAGAGTAAATATACTACAGTATTTTTCTGTTTTAGATGGTGCAAATGTTTCCCATGTGAATTGGACTAGTCTTTGAAACACTCTTCTCTTCCCAGAAATTAACTACATTCACTTTTTTCATGTATATGTTTGACCCTAGTATGTGTCCATTTTTAATGTCACATTTTAGGTACATATGAATCTAAATGACTGTATTTTACTTGGTCATTATTTAATTTGTAGAGATTGATCAGTTTAATGTCTGATTTTTTAAGATTTCCACACAATTTTGGAATTTTAGCAGTGCAGATATTTTTCTATTGCCCAAGGCAATAATAGATGTAGTGTGCAAACACTGCTTTTAAAAGGGTGTCTGTCAGCTGATTTACATATTCTAAAAGTATTAAGATCAAAAGTAATGAGAATTTAATCCATATGGCGTGTAGAAGATAAATAGGAATATTAATACTGTATCAAGTACTAATTAAAGGAAACACCAGTCCTATTTTTAAAATCTTGCATGCAAATGAAAAAGAAGTCATTGCCAAGTTAAGATCTGATTTTTAAAAGAACTGAAGAATTAACAATTTTCAGCCACAAATTCTGAATATGAGACTTTGAGTTTCTAGGGCAGGCCAAATTCTGCTCTCATATGATCCTTTGCATTCTTATAGCACTTTCCATCAGAGGATCTCAAAGCACTTTACAAGTGTTAATTAAATAAACCTCCCAATTCCTATTTTACAGCTGGAGAAACTCGGACACAAAGAGTTTGTGACTTGCCTAAAAATGTGGGTCTATAGCAATGCTAGGTCCCTGATCACCCCTCTCATTGAAGGCGTCTGCCCCTGTGTGTCAAGGTGATTTGGAGCCTTGGAATCCTTAACACTTTCTATTGGCAAGATGGGGTTCATCCTAATCTTTGATGGTAGGGAACTCTAGAGTCAAGGGCTTCTCCTGAGAATGCTGAGTCCCCAGATAATGAGAATTCCAACCCATCCTTCATCGGTTTCAGCATTCCCGTTCACTGCAGGCACAGTGGGGCTGTGGAATCAGAGGCACATTTTAAATAGCTAGGCCCCTGTCTATTGATGACTTTACTGATCAGCACTACAACTTTAAATCAGATCAGGAAGATTCAAGGTAGAGTGTGGAGTATCCGTCTTAGACAGCCCACAGCATGCAAGAGCACTTGGAGTTTCTGTTTCATTATTTGCATAGCACCAACAGGGTGCTTGGTGTTTTACGGACAGGTATGCAGACAAGGTTCCTGTCCCCAAAATGTTTATGGTTCAGATATGGGGGGATGGGAAGCGATGAGAAGAGTGCGAGTGAGAGGTGAAGTTAAGCATGCCATCTTGGCAGTTCCATGATTTTCTTTGGCTTATTTCTAAAGCAGTCAAGATAATTGGTCATCTACTTAGCACAAGTCTGAAGAGAGGGCAGTTTTCTTTCCAGGTCCTTGAAAGGATTCCCTTATCTGCCAGCCTTACTTCTGTTTTTCTGAACTGAATTTAATCCCTCTAGTTTTCATCCAGCTGCTGATGTCATTCTTGCTCTGAGGATATGTCTGCACAGCAATCAAACACCTGGGCCTGGCCTGGGTCAGCTGACTCAGGCTTACAGGGCTCGGGCTGTGGGGCTGTAAAATTTGCTGTGTAAACATTTGGGTTCAGGCTGGAGCCCAAGTTTTGAAATCCCAGAGCCTGTGCTCCAGCCTGACCCGGAATGTCTACACAGCAGTTTTTAGCCCTACGGCCCAAGCCCCATGAGCCCGAGTCAGCTCTCCCGGGCCAGCCAAGTCCATGGTGCAAATCTTTTATTCCCATGTAAACATACCCTGAGTGACAGTACTGACTGCGCATGAGGAGAAAGGAATGTAGAGCTAGATAACTTCAGCATGTTGTTGTCACTAGGGCCGATAGCATCTTACACTCTCTCCTAGCTGTTAACTATAAATGTTAAACAATCAGAGGGCAGAATTTAACCTGCGGAGACCCCACAGGTGGCAGCTCTTGGTAAGGAGGACCTGCCTATTACAACCCTTTGGAAGGCGAGAGAAATAAGCAGAGCCAGCTTAATGCAACTCTTCCCAGTCCTGCCGGGTCTTGTAGATGAACCAAAAGTGCCTCACAGTTGACTGTAGAAGGCTGATGAAAGTGTGATAGTTATGGTAATTGCCTGCAATATCCTGGACAAACTTGACTGAGTTAAGTTTAAGTATGTTAGGAGTTCATAGTATTAAAAATGCAAATGTTTCTGTACTATTGTGAGATTGAATGGCACTTCTTAAGGAGGAAAGCAGGATTAATGCAATCTCTGGGAAGTACTGTGATTTTCAAGAGACTATGCTGAACAATGTAGCAGACCTGAATGATATTTTGGGACAATACATGTGAAGTGGAATTCCTAGGAAGTTCTTGGGAGGAAGGTATCAAGTATCAGGGGGTAGCCGTGTTAGTCTGTATCTACAAAAACAACAAGGAGTCTGGTGGCACCTTAAAGGCTAACAGATTTATTTGGGCATAAG